TTATTATTTAATTTATTGAGCCATACTACCTATATTAATCAAGATATTATATTAATATGTGAGGTCAGGCATTCTCCAGATACAAAGTTTCAAGGCTCAATCAATCACCAAAGAATTACTCGGGAAGTACACGTGGCACCTTGAAGCGGTGGTCTTCAATAAAAAATCGTAAGTAAATCATGTGACGTGAATCGTGTGTTCCGCGACCGCGAAAATACACGATCGCCGCCGATAAGCAAGATACTGACACGACGTGCAGTCAGGATACACCTGTGCACGTGCGGTTTCCTAACGTCAGAATTAACCCGGTGGGAGTAATCGCGTAATTATCATTTTGAACGATACCGCTACCAGAGTTACTGCGAACGTGTTTACTGATTATGTAAGCTTCGCGCGACATTGCGAGGCGCCGGAAAAAGTGCGACGCAAGTCGCACTTCTGAGGATGAACACGAAGGATGAGCAGGAGATCGCTCTCGAAACGAGATGAAAATTACAGAAATGAGCAAAATCACTAGAATATTTATAACTTACCAATTTCATTGATCAATATATCTAGTTAGTTTTGTTCACTTTTAAAATTTTTATCTCGTTTCAAGATACACAATCAATTGAAACGATATGATATAAATTCGATTACTCACATTACATTGGGTTAGTACACATTAAAGGCTGTTTTTTTCCGAAATATGTAAATAAAATTGCACAACATAATTAACTTTGACAATAAAATAATACATATTTATTCCGTTAAAAACATGATTATTATTATTTAATCGTTTAGGGCCTAATTTTTCATTACATGGTTAACTTATGGTTTAGACTTTACTGTACTTAACTTGAGGAGAATATAAATATTATGTTTGTCTAACTATAATCAACTTTCTGTGTTTAGGGAGTTAAATACTGCAAAATTTGATATTTTTGTTGACAATATTATCACACCACGGAAACATTTCTCAAATATTCAAGTTGAAAAAGACCCAAACACGATTAGAAGGTTAATTAGTAAAAATAATGATATTGTAGTGATAACTTCGAAAATTCAGTACAAAATCACAATAAGAAAAATGTCTAGTTGGATTAATTGAAATTTTAATTAAAAATCGACGAATCAGAATTTTCTGTTTAAATCTATAGTAGAGTTCAGATGTAACCGGAATTCTAATTGACATAATAACACATGTATCAAAATCCTTTGGTTTATTCGTTTACGACCAAACATTTTTCTCCTCGATTTATTCATTAATCATAAATTAAAAAATCTAATTTTTACATTATTATCTTAAGTCTATATATATATATAATCACAAGTTATCCAACAAATAAAAAACTGGACCTAAAATATCTATATGCTTAATTTCCCGTATAACTGCTTTCAATACGCACTAATTTACAATTTATTGATTAACCATAAATAGAAAAATACAATTTTTCATCAGGTTAAGTCTAATCAGAAGTTAACCAGCAAATAAAAAACCGGATCTAAAATATTTGTATATGCTTTTACTTAAGGAGTTACATATACCTAACGGGGTAAAAAAATCGATTTTCAATTGCATTTTTTGTAATACGAAATTTTAAGATTATTATCCTAAAGTTTCAACTCAAAATACGCAAAAATATAAAAAAGTTATATCGTGTTAAAGAAATAGACGATTTCCATAGAGCTCCGTTCGTTCGTTCGTTCGTTTACTTGTATATCAGTACATGTTTTTATTGTTCGAGATCCTTTGTCCTTTACCTAAAAACGAGATTTTGACCGTTGCGATCTTACAGCTAATCAGGAATAGATGATTCCATGTAAGTCAAAAGAAGTCATCTATACATTGCTAAGTAATTTTAAACGTATTTTTGTCGAAACAGTGTTTTTAAAATATCAAAAATATTTCGAAAACGAATGGATGGATAAAACTCAGATTTTTTTATTTACTCAGCATGGAAATATGCATTCTTTATCAGGTTATTTTAGGTCTTAGTTTTGTTTTTGCAACAAAAAAATCGATTAATTTCTAAGCGACAATTCGCACTCTTATATTCAACTAAGCGGTGTTTTGTAACAAACGCGAATTTTAAAAATCGGTTACGATAACAAGATTTATATATATATATTTTTTAAGAGTCTATTACGTTTTTGTGTTTCAGATGAACCAGATTATTAAGTGGGTACCGCAAACAGTTATAACAGTTAATATATCTGATGCCAACAGCAATATCATTCTTGTTTTTTAATATATTTTAATATAAATTTTACGTTTTATTGACGGAACTTTATATAAAACATTGATACAAACTCCACATTGATTTTTTCAATACGTTTAGAGAAAAAAAATTCATGAATATTTTTGATACCTCTAGGTGTATGTAATTGACTTTGCTAATGTCACGTGTAGCTGTTTTTCAGTATGCACTAATGTAATGCAACGCACTGAGAAAAATGTCTGATTGAATTAATTAAAACTTTGGTTAAAAACGGACGAATCAATTTTCTGATTAAATCTACTAATTCTAGTTGTGACAATCGGAATTCTGATTGATATTATAAATATAAAAAAAAATAATTATAAGGCTCATTATGTATAAAACAGTTTAAACATAAAGAGGGCCAAGTAATTACTTATTATAAATATAAATTCATATTTATTTTCAATTATTATAAATATAAATTCATTTATTTATAAATATAAATATATTTAGTTATAAATATAAATTCATTTATTTTCAAAAAGACAATTTTCTTAGTAAAATGACCAAATTCACTAATAAACGAAGAGTGCGATTCACTTAACACTGCATATTTAAATATTCTTTGATTGATCGATTCACAAAATTCTTTCTCCTAATTAGTCAACGAAGCGTTTGCAGCGTTAAGTGAATCGCATCTAAAGTATCAGCCAGTCGACTATTACGTCATTAATGGAAAACAATTAACTCTTGAACGGCACACATGGGTCATTTGTGTCCATGCCATTTCTAATAGTTCTTATACCTGAGTGCCCAGCCCAATGTCCTCCTTTGTAAAAAAAATTTTTATACTAAAGAAAATATAGGGAAACAATGGCAACACGGGACCCCGGTGTGTCGTCGAGTAGTACAGTCATAAAGTTGAAAAGCCGAAAATATGATATATTTTTAGAGGCTCAAATAATTGCACATTTTCTGCATCTGACCCTTGCGATATTTCTTTTTGTAAAATATTATATCTATACAAAAATATCCTACGATAATTTTTCTGCATACATATATAGCAAAGTTACAATTTTTATGTCAAAACTGAATTATTTTCTTTTTTTGGTGCAGAAAATAATATTCGTAACTTTTTCTAAACTTTTTTCCCCGATGTCTGCATAATAGAATAATTTAGTAGAGACCTTAAAGAACACGTGTGAATTTTTGCAGAATTTCTCAAGTACTTTAAGCGCCTTAAAATCGAGTCGGACACGAATGACTCTTGTGTGCAGTTCGAAAGTGCTGAAAATAAGTGTGCCGCCGCAAGGTTAAAGGCTATGGCACATAGAAAAACTTAAAACGAAAAACAGCAATAAGCGAATTGACCAATCACAGTAGAGATCGTAAGACCATAACGTAAGCAGTAGCGAATCCAACATGTTGATTTCCTTACTGCTTAAATCTTTAATTTCTTTTATGTAGTAGGCCAAGGCCTAAAAACTGTGTTGTCCTTAGGTGCGCAGTTACGTATATCTCTATACTCTGTTAAGGATTTTTATAATGATAGACATAACAGTTGGTCGACATTTGTTTATCCTTATCGTGTGTAGCTAGCGAAAGTGTTTTGCAGCGTTTTTTCTTCTAGAGAAATATATAGGCAGAAATTTACTAGATCATCGGCTTTTATATATTTTTTTCCCGCTCAAAACTCTCACTCAGATACGAATCTAGTCGGTATCATTCGTCTTTCTTCGACCCTTTAATTTTACAATATTGATGAGCTTGAATCTATAAGATCACTCATCAATATTGCAGCAACGTCACATGCAATTCTATGCAAATGACAGAATATTCGATTGATAGATCGCGACGAAGAAACTCCGCGGAAGCTCATTTCCGTGTCACAAGACTGAGCGAACGAAACGCAATTGTACACATTGACGTACGCTTTTCTTATCTCCCTCATAAATCCCTCGAATTTTTCATATTCGGCAGAGAAATTTACTTTCCGGGCAAGTGATTTCCTCTAAAGGCAGCTCCAGACGACATGGCTAATGTACGCCAACGTTAACAAATATTGAAATATTACACATGACATGCACAACAGGCTAGTAATTAATATATTTCAACAATTTATTTTCCCCCAAATACAAATTAAATACTTAGTATATATATTACATTCCTCGGTTTATAATATAATTACAATATTCTCTTCATTTAATAATAATATCTAATGATGGAATTCAAAAGTGTCTGTATTAAAGTTTACAGTCATTAATTATTATTAAATAAAGAGAATTGTAATCATTACATATAAACTGAAAAAAATTAAGTAAGTCGAAATGTATTCAATTTATTGCATTTAGGAAAGAAATCGTTGATATCTTAACTTTGTAGACCATTAAGTTTCGAAATTTGCTCTGCAATCTCACGAGCCTAATTACAATATATAAATTTATGACACGCATAATTATTCAAATTAATGTAGACCAATATTTAGTGAACGTGTAATAAAATTGACATACCCTGTCCGAAGTTTAATTTGAACAAGAGCCGAAGAGATTTAATTGCAAGGCACGCGCGCGATGCAATTGTCACGCGGTAGTGACGCGAAACGTTAACCCCGAAGTTAGCGAAGTATCGCGGCGTCTAATCGAGAAATACACGTCAAGGAGGTTATGATCAACTCGACTCCGGTAGCTCGCAAATTCATGTGTTAATTTCGCGAGGACGAACGAGACTCGCGAGTACTTGTGAGAAAAGCGATCTGTTCAAAAAAAAAAAGGAAAAGGAAGAGACAGCACGCAAGAGAGACACAAAACGTGCGCTTACCTTCTCTTTCGCTCTGCCTGCGTGTTTCTGTACTGTTTTCGCGATTAACGCGCCCTTGCTCTCAGCCATGATGTTCCCGTAGCGTCAGTTGTGAATGTAGGAGAGGCGAAGCACTTAAAAAAAAAACTCTCAACTTGTCGGACGCAACGATGGCTCGCAGCTTGGCGCAGAAGGAAGAAAGCAGCGACACACCAACTCACGGGATCAAAACGCTCGTGCTGAGGCGCGGAGAGGAACTGAACTGAAGTCCCTGAAGAGAGCGCGACGGCGCAGGGGAGAGGAATGGCGCGGGCCGCCAGCGGCCATGTTGACGTGCACCAATCATCGCGCAAGCACCGCAAAGTCGTCGGCGGCCATATTAGTGCGCGTAAAACTGTTTCGTTTCAACCTGCGTGGAAATTTAGGTCGGTATTCATAATCGATTCTTACATTTAAGATTATCTTAAGTACAATCTTAAGATATCACGAATTAATCAGAGGCCGATGTTCACAGGATGGTACTCATACGCTGGTATTCATAGGATCTTGGATATTTTAAGATCGTCTGAAGAGGGCTGCATTAGCATCTTAAGATATTACATAAGACGATCTTAAATTAATAACGAACTGTGAATACCGACCAAATAATCCGTTTTTATTTATAAGATCGTCTTAAGATATCATGAATCACACAATCAGAGAGCCGTATCAGCACTTTAAGATATCACTTAAGACGATCTTAAAATAAGAATGGACTATGAATACCAGATTAGTTTGTGACATCTTGAGACTGTACTTAAGATAGTCTTAAATATACGAATCGACTATGAATACTGGCCAAAATGCCGTATTATATCATCTTAAGATATTACTTGGAACGGTTTTAAAATAAGAATTAAGAATAGATCATGACCGATATTTATAGTCAATTCTTATATTTAAGAAAGGTTGTCTTTATAAGTACAATCTTATAAAATATCTTAAATTAATTAGAACATTCCTTGGGTAGTATTCATAGTTTCTTTTTTTTTTTCTTCTTTTCTTCCATTCTTATTTTAAGACCGTCTAAAATAATGTCTTAAGATGCTAATGTAGCTAATTGGTTCATGATACCTCAAAACTAAACTTAAAACGCTCTTGAATATAAGAACTGACTATGAATACCAGCCCTTTTAAGCTTAGTAAAAATAAAAACAGACTATAAACATCATCCTGTGAATGTCGGTCGTAGAATTTTCGTCGCACTCAAAAATTCTTGCATTTAAAAATCCAACTACAATCTCATGAGAGTCATCATGTCCCAATCGTTAAATCTAACTTTATTCCTAAAATAAAAGAATATCGCTCTTATTTCAAAATTCTTATTTGAAAAATAAAAGAACGTGATTATTAAGTTATTATGAACGTGTTAACACTAAAATCATCAATGTGCCGCTAGAATTGCCAACAGTGTTGATTTAGTAATTCTATTATACTAATTTTCGGTTAGTAAAAAATTGTTTTATAATTATTTGATTATTAGAATTGTTTGTATTATTATATATAATATTATATAGTTTCAATATTCTGTATATTTAATACAGAAAAAAGTTTCAGTGATTAACAGAATTAAAATTGAAGTAATTAGCAGTACTATCGGCAATAATTATTAAATGAATAATTACCCTATTATTTATTAAAAGTGAATACTCTCTAAACTTCAGAAAAAATCATGACAACTCGGAAAGAGTAGATAAAAAAAAATCAATTTTTTTACGGTTGTGAAAGGAAAATGATAAAAATAATGTTTGTTCATGTTGAAAGTATATTATTTTTGCCGATATTATTTAACTAGTCAATAATTTTCCGCCATTTAAAGTTGAAAAATAATTTTCCTCTTTTCTAAGAAACTTACTTATTTTTAAAAGAAACAAATTGCTCATATAAACCAACACAAGTTCTCAGTGTGTACTTTTTATACAATTTATTTAGGTCGAAACGTTTACGTTTTATTATTTATTTCAAATAAATTGTATAAAAGTACATACTGAAAACTTGTGTTGGCTCATATTGGCAATTTGTTTGTTTCTTTTGATTTATTCAACTGAGCCTTTTGATTATCTTATTACTTATTTTTTTTAATTGTAATACTTTTGAAAAGAGCAATTGCTATTTCTTAAATATTCGGCAACAAACATTATTTTTGCTCGGATTTTCCATTCAAATATTAATTAGCTTTATTTTAAAGCTAGAAAATATCTATCGATCTGCAATTTGTTGGAATTTTTCATCCGAAACTTCAGCCTTAACTTAATCCTAGCGACGTATGTACTTCCAGACGGACACTCGTATCTGTAAAATGAAAGACCAATTAGAGACAAAAAGTAAACAGGAATTTGTTTGATCTAGATTTCTAAGTTTCAAGGAATATAACTAGAAATAATAAGTCTACGCGAGAAAATCTATGTTGTACGTACTTTATAGGATACATTGCTAAATTTAGAAACAATAAAGTATAATTATAATTAGAAACAAATTACAGATCAATTATGAAATATTTTTCCTTAAAATATCATATCTTTAGTTATATATATTTTTACTTATATCTATATATATTCGATTGATACAGCGAGTTCAAGGCTCATAGTTGAGATAATCGGCGAGTTAGAATAAATATATAAAAGATATTTCCTGAAAAATTAATTATCTAAAAATAACTTATAATATAATGAAAAAAAAACAAAGATATTTGTATATTATATTATTAATCACGCCAAAACGCAGTAAAAAAAAAACAAGTGCAAAAACTAGGTTCACTTGTCAATACATATCGGATACACCATCGTTGATTTGTAAATGGTTTTATTAATAAATTATTTTTTTCTTATTTTGTGTAATGAGGATTGCTCGAAATAAACAAACGTTATGATAAAAATCCATTTTAACAACGGAACAGACAGACAATACACAGATGTAATATATCTGGTAATAGAAGGTGATAGATAAATTTTCTTTTCCCCTTACTTAAATGGTCTATCCAAAATCGCAATTGACAAAAGTGTGTGGTGTGTATGTGTGTGTATGTATGTGTGTGTTTACACATGTGTTGCGGGGCGCGCGGAATGTGTTTTCAATTATTTATAATTTAAATTCTTAATTATATTTATAATTTAACGCTTAATAAACGCTTCCGCGCGAGCCGCAATTACAAATTGCAGATTGGAAATTTACAGATTTGGACCTGTACATGTTCACATATACTCATTGTACCTAATATAAATTTGCTTTTAGTCTTGGAAAAATTGGATAAGGCCATAACCAAACTGGCGACAAGGAGGCGCCAGGTCCTCTCGATACTACCGCATAATTATTTTTTTATTCTTTTTTTTCTTATAAAACCGATCGCTTCTCTCTCTCTCTCCCTTACTCTCTCCTCGCATTCTCTCACTCGCCACTGTACTCCCATCCATTCTCACACGATTACGTAGTTAATTGGTTGTCCCTGTCCTAGTCTATACTTGTCGCAGTCTCACCATTAACTACATCGTCTGATTCATCCTGCGAGTTCCTTTATCTTGCGTCTATCTTATTAAATGTGTCTCTTTTTCACATTTTTTTTGTTCTTGCCCTAAATCTAATTTTGCGTTATGAGGTCTGTTCCTTATTCCTGTAATCTCTGAATTGATGCACACGGTACAATAAGTTAAAGTGAAATAAATATACGTTTGTTTCACTTTAACTTATCGCACTGTGTGCAGTTTAGAGAACGTAGAAATAAAAAATAGACCTGACTTTAATACAATTTAAAAGTGCGAAAGCGCAAGTGTAAATATTTTGTTTCTTAAAATCATACTCGTAATTTTTAATGTTAATCATAATATATTGATGAATCTCCATTATCTCTAAACTTCACACTTCATTATTCATCACGAAATGTATCAGCGCAATGGTAACTTCAGAGACAGAAATTAAAGGTTAATCATTTGACGCACATGATGTTGACTTTTATTTCCTTAGTAATTCGTTCCAAAGACTGAGGCCTACTGTAGGTTATATAATGTTATACAGAAATTAATCACATTATCAATCAACATAATTTATGCTTTGGCATACACAAGATGTCCTAGAATTACCGTATCTTCCTTCGATTAGAAATATAATACATATTTAATTTATTCATCTTGATGAAAATTTATTATTCGTCACAAGTTCTCCAATTTTAGTATCAAATACTTGGAGTCAAATCGTATTAAATTTCCGTTAGAAATAACTTTTGTTTATATATATATAAAACAAAACAAAGATATTTCTAAACAATAAAAGAAGAAAGATATTTCTTCATATTTGTCCGTTTTTCTTTTTTCTTTATTATATTCTGTTAAAAAATATTATCGACCTCATATTTATAGAATACATATAATTATGTATTAGATATAAAAGAAAATACGATAAATCTGTGATGCCTTATATACATATATATATAAAAAGACAAAAAAAGAATTATAGAACTGTACAATTGTCTTCAAAAGTGAGAGAATATCATAAATCGTAATAATCAAATTGATTCTTTTACGTTATATCAGAGCACAACATTTCCGCAATGCCCGAGAGTAAATAACAATAATCTTAACAGCCATGCGCTGAGCGGCCGATCGCCGTTGTACATAGAATATCTGGAACTTAAAACTTACTAGAAAAAAATGTAAGTTAAAATAACACCGGGTCCGCGTTTACGTGCAACGCTCGACACGTTGATCAAGGTATATCGGAGATTTTTGTGTCCCACACATCTGGATATAAACGATCTAACTCTTGCTCTTCTGTCGTCGGAATCACGCGATTGAAAACAATAATGTAAATATTACGATATTTTCTATTCGCTATCCGTTTCTCATTGATATCGGAGATCCCCGTAGTGTAGAACATTCTTGCGGAGAACGCGCAAAATTCGTTATCATTCACAGCGACGGTCCTGTATTGTTTTTTCATTTTTCGCTTTAACGCGTACTTTTTCCCCAATCCCCCTCCCAATCCCATCTTCATCGGATATATACGCTCATGTATAAGAGTAACATATATTTCTCTCTTTATTTTCTGTCCCAAAAATCACAGAGGCATATAATGCACCTCGATGTATGGTGTAAACCTGTACAAAAGTTGTTCCTCGTTTACTCTATACTTATTCACGGTACAATAATAATGTATTTAAAATGTAACTTATGTAACCTTATTACTGATTAACGATGACCGCATTCCAGCGTGACCAGCCTTTGGCCGACTGGAGCTAACAGACAAGATGCTCCTTCGAGTGTAAAACTCCGCTACCTCCCGCAATCTATTTTCGTCTCTTTCGCACGCGCATGCACACGCGCACTCTCTCTCTCTCTCTCTCTCTCTCTCTCTCTCTCTCT